GGGAGTTTTGTAGAGGGTTGTTGACTAAATATAATAATTCTTATTATTTAAGGCAATTGTGACAGGCTCGAGGAACGTAGACTGTCGATCGAGTGCTTGCGAGAGAGATAAGAGCGTAGCTCTCTGGTGGCGAATGCAAGAACTGTCGCCACACTCGTATCACGCTTCATTTTCTATATTTTTGTATATCAGGTGCACTTTCAGAAGAATTGAAATTTCCCATAAATGCATAAACCATCTATCCATTACTAAACTGAACAAAACTACTGAATTTCGATCTAGCTTGCAAAAACAAATCTTACATTGCATCTAACGGTGAAAGTAGGCAAATTATAGCACCCAAACAATATTTCACTACAATTTAAACGATCCTTGTCTCCAAATTTCCCCACTGAACGCATCAATCTGGTTCCAATTTGATTAATTAAATCGTCCCCCCGTGGGAACGTTGTGATTTCGTGAATTTGACAATGTTCATCGACGAAGAAGCCTAATCGTCCAGGGTGCAGTGTACCTACATAATTCTCCGTCGTGTTTAGCGTCGTTATCTCGTTTAACCCTACGAGTTCGATGCCCGAACAGAACAATGTATCGACCCACGAACCATCGCTGGGGGGTCGATGGTTCACATTTCTCTATTTATGAATGGGAACTCGAGCGTTTAAGAACCGTCGTCGTGGCAGACATTATTTTTCCCCATTTATCATGTCCCCCTCGCTTCTTGCATCGATCTGCGTCACTGATACTTGCGACGGAATCCATGTTTGCGTTTCTTCGAACTTCCGAGGTTCGAGACACCCCAGCTGTGTAATTAAAACCCCATTCGAGCGGCTCGTTTGAGTCCAATCAGCCTCGACAACCAAGTCTCGTGCAAATCTAGTTCGGTGGTGGATAAGGGAGAGCTTAAAAATGGCGGAAAATATTCCGTAATCCGGGAAATTATACTCCTGTAAATTATAAACAGGGGAATAAAAATGTCAGAGTTCTGGTCGAATTAAAAAATCATTCGAGACGATCGAGTATAGGTTTCTCTACTTTAAAATAATTACTATACTCGTTACTGCACTATTTTAAACATTTCAATACAATTTTGTTATCGCGAACGTTTGGTTCTACGTCCATTTTAAAAAATCGTTCGAGACGATCGAGTATATGTTTCTCTGCTCGAAAATAATTACTGTACTCGTTGCTGCTCTATTTTAAACATTTCAATACAATTCTTTTTTATCGTTTACGTTTGGTTCCACGTCCTTGGAACACTTTCGTGAACCAGTGTCCGTATAAAAGGTGATCTCGTTGGTCGGACCAAGAAGGCGTACTACTGCGAACGAAAACGCCCGACAGAATGAGAGTTCGTTCCCGCTAAGTTGTATTAATTTAATTGACGAGCCTTGAAGTCGACCTCCTTTGAGCCACTACGATCTAAACGATCCCCACGAAGCACATTGAGACTGTCGTTTGTTATGTGTGGCCACGCACCTATGAATCACTCCTCCAATAACAGACCAAACATCTCACTGTCCTTTAATTTTTAACTGCAACTGCGAAAAATGGGGAATAATTAATTTCCTATTGACCTTCCATAGCATGCATATAGCACGATTATAATAAAACTTGAATCAGGTTCCCCATTTGGAGAGAACAGAGTCAAGTATTTTTCAATTAACACTTTGACGGCCGCTGTCACGTATACGTGACTTTAGGAGCTGATAAACATTGGCCATTGTCACGTGTGCGTGATCTACCGTATCAGCCAACTTATTACGTTTGTTGAGGTTACATTTATAATAACTAGCATCTTCGTGTATCTCACTTTGGTCAACAATATCAGTGATGGCCATTAACACGTTCACTGCCAGATTAAAACCGTGTAATATATTCTGTAAAAGTAAAATTTTGATTTCAGTCCATTGTAAGCTACATAACCTAAAATTTGTTTCAGTATTTATTTTTGCAACCTTGTTACAATTTACAAATTCTATGCAAATTTATTTCCCTCAAGATCTTAACTTGAGAATTAATTTTTCTAGTATCATAGTGATAAATTCTGTCACCCATATATGGCTGACGTAGCAGTCAAAGTGTTAAAAGGTGGAAGAATTTCGTAGAGGAATTCCAGGGGGGGTGAATCGGGAATCATCAACCCGGATAACGATTAGGCTAGCCGTTAGGACTCCCGGGGTAAATCAATCTCAAAATTTTGATTTCAGTCCATTGCGAGCTACATAACCTAGAATTTTGTTCACTACTTATTTTTGCAACCTTCGTATAATTTACAAATTCTATCCAAATTTATTTCCACGTTTAGGTTCGAATTAAAGATGGACGACGATAAAATTAAGAACGAGCTATTATATTTTATGTGTTAGCCCTTTGCACTTCGAATTCTATTTAAATCTCGTTACCAGCTGCTCCCAATGCTTTTAATAATGTTTTATTTGAAATTTACGTCGATTAAAAAATATTGTATTTTGTAACTTTTAAGCGTATATCTCTTTGGTTTGGACTTGAAAAAATGTCGAGTGGGACACAAAATGTCGACAAAGGAGTTCCTGAGATAAAAATTGATGTCGAGTCACATTCGACATAGAAGTGCAGAGGGTTAAAGTGTTAAGACCAGGAAATAATCGAAGATTCCGGAATCAAGGTTACGATGATCGCCAATGGCGACTAAAGAATCAGAAGGTAGTAAAAAATTGCTGGAACATGTGGACACGTCGTCGTGTATGTCCGTGAATCACCTGAAACCTTGCACTCTGACATTTAGCCTCACCTTGAATACAAATGAGCCAATTAATCCACGCAAAAGTTCGTTGCGCCCAATGTGGAACGATAAACAAGTTCTCTGGTTACGTGCCCTGTTAACTTGGGAAATTATGTCAAGTAAAGCTTGTTTCGCTGCAAGTCTAGCATCTTGTCCGTTTCTCGAGACGCTTTACCTTGCAGGGTATATAGAATGTTACGCTTTAGAGAAACGCAAAGGGCCTTCCGAACAACGTGGCCCCGTTTTTCACTGTTGAATCTGAAATTGGCTCGAGAGACCTCGACAACAATCATTCACGGTCGAATTTTACAATCCAAACTCTGACTTGTTTTTTTACTCGAAAATAAGCGTGAAATCGATCGTTCAAACAATTATAACGTCTTAGAGCGAAATTAACTAAATAATTTAAGTAATTTACTTTACCGATTGGCCCTACTGATTATATATCTACTTTTTCTTGTAATTATAGGAATGTTAAATGAAAGTTTGCGACAGTGGTTACTATATTGTTCTCTTTCCGTTATTATAGGGTAATTAAATCTAGTGATATTTTTTGTTTTCATGATAACCGATTAATAAGCTACCGGTCGGTAAAAAGTCGATTAATAGGCTACCAGTCGGTAAAGTGTTAACTTTGAACTCACAACGCGTTGCAATTCAGTGATTCCAGTGATCACTTTTTTGCAAATATCACTTGTTATTCCTCTTTCTAACGCGAAATTTGCATTTGTACGAACTTTAATCTGTTCGGAAGATAAATTACGAAACAAAGATGGACGAAATTCTCGAAAATTATCCAAATAAAAATAAATACTGTGATCTAAAGTTGTATCTTGATTATTCGTGTTTTTGTACCATTTATATTTTACATCGGAGTTTTCGGAATTATCTTGAGCTTTTTAAAACCGTAACGCTGTAATTTGTTTCGTTTATCTTTTCCGTCCAGGAACGAGTCCATCGAGCAACGTTAACCTAGTTCGAGAATTGCCTCGGGCGGGCGTTTTTGCTTTTTATTCGAAATAGCATCCCGCTATATTTATTTCGTCGCGCGACCATTGTTCGTGGACGCTGTGATTTTCACGAATATTTCACGATTTCACGATTTCACGATTTCCCTTTCGCTCGCTTTTTATTATTTATGATATACGGGTCGAGAAGAATTATGGTTGCAGTATTTTTTTTAAAACCGCTATTCTGCGTGGAGATGTATAGGCTGTACCGTTTAAATCGATCCTTCGAAACTGGCTGTACCAAAAAATTCGTGAATTATTATCGAAAATGCACGTTGCACCGAAAGAAAAATTAATATTAGCAAGTTGAAACGATCATTTATGGAAACGATGTTTTTGCGAGGAATTGTAAATCGAAACGTGATTTTTATTGCAAATTTGATGAGGAGATCTAACGAACGGCGAGATGTATAGGCTGTACCGTTTAAATCGATCCTTCGAAACTGGCTGTACCAAAAAATTCGTGAATTATAATCGAAAATGCACGTTGTACCGAAAGAAAAATTAATATTAGCAAGTTGAAACGATCATTTATGGAATCGATGTTTTCTGCGAGGAATTGTAAATCGAAACGTGATCTTTATTGCAGATTTGGAGAGGAGATCTAACGAACAGCGAGATGTATAGGCTGTATCGTTTAAATCGATCCTTCGAAACTGGCTGTGCCAAAAAATTCCTGAATTATTATCGAAAATGCACGTTGCACCGAAAGAAAAATTAATATTAGCAAGTTGAAACGATCATTTATGGAAACGATGTTTTTGCGAGGAATTGTAAATCGAAACGTGATTTTTATTGCAAATTTGATGAGGAGATCTAACGAACGGCGAGATGTATAGGCTGTACCGTTTAAATCGATCCTTCGAAACTGGCTGTACCAAAAAATTCGTGAATTATAATCGAAAATGCACGTTGTACCGAAAGAAAAATTAATATTAGCAAGTTGAAACGATCATTTATGGAATCGATGTTTTCTGCGAGGAATTGTAAATCGAAACGTGATCTTTATTGCAGATTTGGAGAGGAGATCTAACGAACAGCGAGATGTATAGGCTGTATCGTTTAAATCGATCCTTCGAAACTGGCTGTGCCAAAAAATTCCTGAATTATTATCGAAAATGCACGTTGCACCGAAAGAAAAATTAATATTAGCAAGTTGAAACGATCATTTATGGAAACGATGTTTTTGCGAGGAATTGTAAATCGAAACGTGATCTTTATTGCAGATTTGGCGTGGAGATCTAACGAACGGCGAAGATGACTCGAAGAAGAAGAGCTCCTCTCGCGTTAAGCGTATGCATAGGTAAGAATACATTATAAACCAGTATTTATCGATCGATTTGCATAATCCATTGAGTCGTAAATACATAATGCACATCCACGGGGCAGTTTGAAGGTCGGGGTTGCCGATTATTGCGATGTTTAAACAATCGTGCATCGATCGTTCCAAAATAACACGATCCTGAAAAGTCACCAGCAATAAATACATCGATGCATGGAACAATTTGTGAAATCAACTTTTTAAATCAGCTGTGAGCTTGCAAATTTAAGTGAAACGATAACTTGCATTTGTTTCTTCATCAGAATTTTTTTACTGACGCGAATATACAATAAAATATAACTGAAAAATGTTAGAGTTAATTTGAAATTAGTATACGATTAGATATGACCTGATACAATCGTAGACAATAGTAGAAATTTATCGATGATATTATTTCATAATCTACGATCCATATATTGTCGTGGACATTATTTAGCGTGGACAACCATGAGAAAAATTTTAATGGGGGATTCTAGAGCCCAAAATAAGACGAAAATCAAGAATACCAATTTGTTGATGGAGGCTTCGTTAAAAAGTTATTAACGTTTAAAGTTCCGCCAGTTTTGAATTTTTTTCTCGAAAATGCGCAAGATTTCGGGGGTATGTCTATTCACCAAAAATGATTGCAATTGACCCCCGCAACCGAAAATAATTTTTCCAAAACGATTTGAAAATTTTTTTTTACGTCAAAAAATTTAGGCACCCAATTTCAATAAGGAATTTTTTTCTCGTAAATGCGCAGGATTTTGGGGGTATGTGTAATGACCAAAAATAATTGTAATCGACCCTCGCAACCGAAAATAATTTTTCCAAAACGATTTGAAATTTTTTATTTTCGTCAAAAAATTTCACACCTTCTCGAATTTTTTTCTGGAAAGTGGGTAGGAATTCGAGGGTAGGTCTATTCACCAAAAATGATTGTAATTGACCTCTGCAACTAAAAATAATTTTTTTAGAATGATTTGAAATTTTTGAATTTAATTGTTAATAACTTTTTAACGAAGCTTCTATCGACAAATTGGAATTCTTGATTTTCGTTTTATTTTGGCCTCTAACACCCTGTATAGTATGATCAGACATGGACAACAATACACGTCCAGATATACCTATATTATATCGTTGCATATATGACATCAGATATGGCCCTATATGGCTCACGTATGGTTCGTATTCAGTCATCTATTCTTACATTTAATACGAATCTGATTCCTACCTATTCATATGCAACCATACATAATCATTTCTGACCAATTCAATTCCTAAGAAATATATGCAGCACAAAAGGGCTGATGTCGAATAAAAAAATTCTTTAACAAAGTTCATTTCTTCTCTCAGTCTCACTCGAATAATCTTCTAGTTTCTTCTAACTTTTTTCCATTCGTTGTCCAAACAGATTTTAATTTAGCAAAAAATCGTAATCCGTCGTCGATCGTTTCCGTTCTCAAAATGTTCCTAATTTCTCGCTTTCTACGCGCGAACGCGATCGCGCCGCGCAACGGAATATCTGTCACGGTGAAAAGTAAATTACTCGCGTCGAGTATTTCGTCATAACTTTCGCGTGCACGTAACGTGGATTTCCATCGAGGCGAGCGTTAGATCGTCGCGTCCTGTTGCTTCGCGAAAACCTGTGATTGCAAAAGGTTGCCAATCGAGTCGACCGCACGAAGTACTGTTAGGATCGCTGCACCGTCCCGGGCAGTAACTTAACTGTAACACTTGCCCTGACGATATGAATTCGCAGTCGTCTCGAGCCGTATGACAACCGATACTTTGAACGTTCCTTCTACCGATGCGAATTTTTACCGTAACTTCGCTTCCGCGATCTCGACGTGTACTCCTTTTCCTTGGATCCTTTTATCGTCACAGTACACTGACACAGTAAAATCGATACGAGCGCTTCTTACGAAGTAGCAGTTCCGCCATTGGCTATGTAATCGAACATGCAAATGTTATCGAATTTTGCACGATGAAATTTCAAGAAATATTTCATATACAGTTTTAAATAGTACACCCCATATAACTCTATAATATTTTTATTTGGGAAGCAAAATATCAGGAAACAGAGAATTTTTATTTTGGGTAATTCGAAGCACACAAAATGGAGCGTTTAAAAAATCGCAGACTACGCCATTTTGAAATATATTCAAAAACTGTTTTAAATAACGGACTCTATATATATAGCTAGAAAAGAATAATATTTTTACCGATGAAATGAAGTATTTTAATTTTATTAATTCGAAGCATACAAAATGGCGTGCGTTTAAGAAATTAAATGCAGGACTATTCGATGCAATTTTTTGATCCCTACAAAAATCTAAGGTTCTTACACCTTGAACCTATCAATTCAGAAGTTATCTATATACAGGGTGTTCGGCCACTACGGGGAAAAATTTTAATGGGAGAATAAAATTAAAAAATTTCAAATCGTTCTGGAAAAATTATTTTCGGTTGCGGGGGTCAATTACAATCATTTTTGTTCATTACATATACCCTCGAATTCCTACGCATTTTCGAGAAAAAAATTCGAGAAGGTGTGAAATTTTTCGACAAAATTAAAAAATTTCAAATCGGTCTGGAAAAATTATTTTCGGTTACAGGGGTCAATTACAATAATTTTTGGTGAATAGACATACCCCCGAAATCTTGCGCATTTTCAAGAAAAAAATTCGAGAAGGTGTGAAATTTTTCGACAAAATTAAAAAATTTCAAGTCGGTCTGGAAAAATTATTTTAGGTTACGAGAGTCAATTACAATCATTTTTGGTCATTACACATACCCTCGAATTCCTACGCATTTTGTAGAAAAAAATTCGAGAAGGTGTGAAATTTTTGACAAAATTAAAAAATTTCAAATCGGTCTGGAAAAATTATTTTCGGTTACAGGGGTCAATTACAATATTTTTTAATGTATACACATACCTCCGAAATCCTACAAACTTTCGAGAAAAAAATTCAGTGCGAATGGAACTTTAAACGTTAATAACTTTTTAACAAAGCCTCCATCAACAAATTGGTATTCTTAATTTTCGCCTCATTTTGGCGTCTAGAATACCCCATTAAAATTGTATATATTAAATATCGCCATAGACGATCCGATAACAGGGATTGCGTAAATTCATTTGTTCCAGTTACGTCGCCATTTTCGCCTCCTAACAGAGTTCCTAGAAATTGCAGAACCATTACGTTCGTAATTTGTACTGCGTATTGCAATCGTCATGAAAAGCAGTGTTATCGAAATCGAAAGTCTCCGGTGTTTACTCTACCCAAATCGAAAGTCTCCGGTGTTTACTCTACCCAAATCGAAAGTTTCAAAGTTTAGTTTGTCCAATCGAATCCGTGTTATTATCGAACGATTCGTTCCGAACCGATGAATTCGCGGGGAACTTAAAACTGGAATCGAATCGATTAAAGAATTAGAAAGCGGAATTTTTTACCAGAATTTGGTTCGATGCTCGTGTTAACACGGTCGTTAAACGTACAAATTTATTCGTTTTACCATTAACCCTTTGCACTCGAAACAATTAGATTGTTGGTAGTTGAAAGAGGTTTTTTCCAAGATTGAAAATCTTTGTAATTGATTAGGTTGTACGACGTTCTTTTCAGACTTAAAATTTTTGTATTTATTCAACGCAGCCGTACGTAATTGTCTCTGAAGACTGCTTGAACCACGTTTTGTTTTATAATTAACGTTCGTCGCAGCGACTGGACGTAAACGAAAAAGAACGCGAGCCTTTTCGTGTTTGACGAGGACTCCAGGAAAAACAAGTCCGTATTCTTTTTAATTAACCGTAATTTCCTAGTTTATGGAAAACGATTGCGTATAGTAAAAGCGGAAGGCTCTCGAAACGACTCTCTTAATTTTAATTGTGTTCACATATTTCGAAGTAAAACGTATTCAAATAATTACGCTAACAGAGAATAGATATTTATTTAAATTTCTTCGTTTTTACGAGCGCTAATATTTCAAACTAGGAAATATAAAATGTGCGATTACATACGTGTTTATTAACATTAACGAGGATGCAATTTGCAAGGGAATAAAAAAGAAATGGGGTTCGCGCGTTATTAATTTTAAAAGGATTTTACATACTCGAAGCGGGCTGTAAAACCCGACGATCGAAACGTCGTAATAAACTTTTATTAATATTCAAGAGTTGCACGATATCATTAAACAAGATGGAGCAACAAATTTTCTACTCGTTTTGTCTAATAAATTCTCCCGTATTCCAAGGTTTGCGTAACCGAATTCCCGTTTAATTGCAACGATAATGTTACACTTATCGCGGCGGCGCTTCAGTCGCCCATCCCAATGGCGTAGTAACGAGGGAAAAAAACCAGTAATCGTCTTCGATTCCAATCTACATTTTCGAACCGATAAAACATCATCTAGATTACAACGTGTGTAATATTAGACGCCATTACTCCATAATTTTAAAGATACATTCACTGATACATTAACACTAATTAAGTAAGATAAAATTATATGTTATTTCTTATCATTAAATGAAAAAACTATTTCTTCTATGTGGGAAGCATAAAAACGAAATCAATTTTTGGAAGATAAAAAATATTTGTCAAAATTAACAAAAAAAATGTCGTTTATTTATTATTCTGCGCGGAAAGTAGTTAGTAATTTCAACTGCGTTTCTGCGTTGCTCGAAACAGTTCGGAACACGAGATCATACTCGTGCGTACACGTTTTCACGTAACCTGACCACATAGGCGGAGATCAGGTGCGCATACTTAAATCTTCCAACATAATCTCGAGGTCTGCTTAACATTCAGAGTCACGGGACCGTACACGCTGTTGCATACGCATTTTTCTCCTTCCGTCGGCGGCGCGTAGAACGCACGGCGAACTGTATCATAGAGTCCCCGTGAATTGCCGCGAAGCTGGCTGAGTAATTCCCGGCCAACCGGTTTTTAGATCCATTAAAAGCTTCATCTACGCTCCCGTCCATTTTTATCGCGTCTTGCTCGTGAAAGTCGTTGTTGTCGATATCCGGTTCCCAACGTCTCGCTCGCGGACGTCTTCTGACGATACTGCGACCGACTATCGCCGATTTACAAGTCATTTTCTCGCCGTTTATTCAGAAATAACTCCGTCGATTCACCATCGGTTCACGCAATTTAATTATCAGGTTTCGCGTTCGTCGTTATCGAGTCGCTTGCAGAGTTTTTTCTTGGTAAATAGAAATTATATTTATCAATAAAAGTAATTGTCAATCTTTTTCAATATGTATATGTTACGTCTGATATATGTAGATTGAAAAATATGACAAATGATGGCACAGAAAATGAGGTTAAGTTAGATATTCTCAAATATGGACCATTGTATCCAAGATGGCGGAGCTGAAACAGCTCTCAGAAGGTGGGTTGAGAAAAATGGAGGCAAATTCGAGAATTATCGAATCACTTACAGAGTTTATTTGGATATAGATACTATATTTATCAATAAAATTAAATAACAAGCTTTTTTTAATACATATTACGTCTGATGTATATTGAAAAATATGACAAATGATGGCACATTAAAAGGAGGTTGGGTTAAATATGGGATTCTCGAATATGGACCATCGTATTCAAGATGGCGGATTTAAAGTTGAGAAAGATGACGGCAAATTTGACAATTATCGAGTCACCTACAAAGTTTACTTGGTAAACAGAAATTATATTTATCAATAAAAGTAATTGACAATCTTTTTCAATATATATATTACGCCTGATATATTTATATTGAAAAATATGACAAATGATGGGACAGAATCTGAGGTTGAGTTAAATATTCTCAAATATGGAGCATCGTATCCAAGATGGCGGATTTAAAAGAGCTCAGAAGGTGAGTTGAGAAAGATGGTGGCTAATTCGAGAATTATCGAGTCACCTACAGAGTTTATTTGGAGATAGAAACTATATTTATCAATAAAATTAACTAACAACCTTTTTTTAATACATATTACGTCTGATATATATTGAAAAATATGACAAATGGGGGCACAGAAAATGAGGTTAGGTTAAATATGGGATTCTCGAATATGGACCATCGTATCCAACATGGCGGAACTGAAACAGCTCTCAGAAAGTGGATTGAGAAAGATGGTGGCAAATTTGAGAATTATCGAGTCACCTACAGAGTTTATTTGGAGATAGAAACTATATTTATCAATAAAATTAACTAACAACCTTTTTTTAATACATATTACGTCTGATATATATTGAAAAACGTGACAAATGATGTCAAAGAAAATGAGGTTGAGTTAGATATTCTCAAATATGGACCATCGTATCCAAGATGGCGGATTTAAAAGAGCTCAGAAGGTGGTTTGAATTAAATATTCTGAAATATGGACCATCGTATCCAAGATGGCGGATTTAAAAGAGCTCAGAAGGTGGGTTGAGTTAAATATTCTGAAATATGGACCATCGTATCCAAGATGGCGGATTTAAAAGAGCTCAGAAGATGAGTTGAGAAAGATGGTGGCAAATTTGAGAATTATCGAGTCACCTACAGAGTTTACTTGGCAATAGAAACTATATTTATCAATAAAATTAACTGATAACCTTGTTTTAATACATATTACGTCCAATATATATTTAAAAACGTGACAAATGATGGCGCAGAAAATGAGGTTGAGTTAGATATTCCCAAATATGGACCATCCAAGATGGCGGATTATTAAAAAGAGCTCAGAAGGTGGTTTAAGCAAGCTAGCGGCAAGTTCGAGAATTCTCCCATAAATTATAACGTTTTAACGATCGTTATACAACTTATGACGGCCATTAAACGCAATCGTAATGTAAGGAACGATCGTCGATGTTGTTTATACGAGCTCTGAATACCTAATTCCGCCGTCGCCAGCCCAGTGTCGTATATAGGTTACAATTTCATCACGTTGCATGAGATTCTACGCCTTGACCAACACCCTCGCCCAAATTCGTTCGTTTTCAATATTTTAATCGGAATTCATCGAACGTAATAAACTTCTACATTTAAATTGGATATTTAGAGAAAAAAAAATTCGTAATTTCGTTTCGTCGAACGCTGTAAACTTTTACATTCGTTTAAACTCGATATCACGCACGTTCCCCTCGATCGATCGGATTATCCGCACCAAAGCAATTAAAACTGACCGACGAGGAAACATGTAAAAACGAGTTTAAATGAATTTGCAATCCGAATTATTTCGACTCGAATTCTGCACGTTGCAGCTTCAATTTTCAACTGATTTTATAAAACTGTTAAAAAACTCTTTTTAAGTTTCAAACATGTACCAAACTTTTATTATTATTATATCATTCATTAACAGGAAGAAAACCCTTTCGAACAAAAGATGTAAGAAACAACAAATATGGATCACACATAGTGCATATTATCCATTAAAAAATTTTAGCAAAATAATTAATTTATACATTATAAATAATTAATTTATACATTATGCTTTCCAAGCTCTCTGATAAATTTCCAAAGTCAGTAAGAATATTTTTCTAAACGATTCCTGCATCGAATCCAGCTGGAATATTAATTTATACATTATGCTTTCCAAGCTCTCTGATAAATTTCCAAAGTCAGTAAAAATATTTTTCTAAACGATTCCTGCATCGAATCCAGCTGGAATATAGTTCACAAAATCCGAGGATCGTTTCTGTCAGATTTGCTTTCTAGCTCGTGATATTAATATATAAAACGACCACTAACACTTACAGAATAAGATTTACTATATTTATAAACGTATAAGAAACAAGATCGTATAATACACGCTGCGTTATGTCGTTGTGTTAACCACGCTGTCATCGATAGATTCACTAACAGTTTCCATTGTCACCGTGCAATAATTCCGTTTCAGGCATATTTCTGCTGCTCTTCAGCACCGTGGCGGCGGACCCGATAAAAGAGCCATCGTCTTCAATCGCGGGCAAAGTTCTCGCGTCGAACGAGTCGGACACGTCGACGTCGGAGAGGAACGAAACGATCCCGAACAAAATACCGACGACGAACGAGGCGGAAGGGAACGAGGGGCCAGTCGACTCGTACAACGCGACCAAAAGAGACCTGGAAACGGTACACGGGAGGCTTATCAAAGCAGAGGGCGAGGAGAAAGTGGCAGCGTCGATCGACAAAGTATCCGAGGCGGATGGAATAAGGTCGCGCAACGAAGTCGACAGGTCGTCGACCTTGGATTCGACTAACGGGGGTTCGAGGTTCGATGAGATCCTCTACGGGACTTCGGGGAAGAGCTCGAGCACCAAGACGGTCGCGGAGGACGTTCACAGGCTGTCCAGAACGAACGATCTGACCACCGCGACCGCGAAACCCGGCCTGGAGGACTCCAGACTCGAGGAGAAGGTGAACGAGACGGTAGACGCCAGCCACGGGACGAACAGAACCGTGAAAACCCTCGAGGATGTGCTCCAATCCAGAGAGGAGCTCGAAAGTTCCGCCTCGAGGCCCGAGGGAACGAACTCGACCATCGAGAAATCGATTCTCCCGGAAGAGTTTCCATCGAGGATCAAGAAGGCGGAGAATCAGCGACCTACGAAGAACTCGGAAGTGTCGGACTTGGAAAAGGCGGAGAACGACGGGTCGGTGTCGTTGATCAACGACACGAACGTCAACTACAGCCACAGGTACAGAACCTCGACGGAGGAGAGCCATGTTCGAGGGACGTCCATCGAGAACGGGAACTCGACGCTCGAAGACAGCTCGACTCGCGAATCTGGAGACCCCAAAGAGGAAGTGGAGGTCGTGGGTAACGTCACGGACGCAGTGACTCAGAGAGTGATGGAGCATCAGTCTCCAAACTCGACCAGCAAGCACGAAAAAAGGAAGGACCTCGAGAAGTCCACCTCCATCGAGGAGAACGAGAGACAGAAATCGCTGGAGGTCACGTTGGAGACGTCGAGTCCCGTGCCCAGGGGCAGGACGATCGCTTTTTCAGGGATAAACGAGTTCCCCGCGGCCTCCTCGAAGCCCTATCCTTACGCGAGGTCGTCCTCGAAAGAGGAAACTGAGGACGCGACCACGGAAGAGGCTTCCGCGTTGGAGAACACGATAGGCAGAGGCCAATCCGAGGAGAAGTTCATAGTCACAGAGGCGTCTGACGTTTTGGAGAACAGCATTCAACAGTTTAAACCAGCTTACTACGAGAAACCAGCCAACGAGTCGTCTACGGTCTCGATGACGACCCTGGAGGAGGCTGTGCCGACGAATCAGTCGGTCGTCGACGTCGCGAACGCTCCCAAGACGGTCTTGGAGACCGTGGAGAAGTCCACCAGCACGGGAAACGACGTTCCAAGGTGGACGGAAGGCAGCGAAACGATCGACGGGAAGGGGAACTTCGACGTGACCGGGAACGGGATAACGGAAGTCAGCTCGAAACCGGAGACTGCCGATAAACGAGCGAATTCCACGACGAGACCGCAGACGGACGTTCAGACGAACGCGGAGAGCTCGATGTTGATCCGCGAGACCCTGAACGCCACGGAACAGTCCACCGAGTATCCGTTGATCAGAGCAAACGCCTCGAGTTCGGATGCAACCACTTTGAGATCACCAGAGACCGTGACAGTCTTGTCAACCGTCGAAGACGTCTCTAATGGAACCAACGAGATCCCCTCGGGCGTGGCTGGCACCTTCAGCCCCGACAAGCCCTCTGCTTTCGTCCCCACCACCACCAGCATCGAGTACGAGTTCGTTGGTCTCTCCGAAACGACAGCTTTTCTCAGCCAGAACGTCACCGAGGAGACTCCGATTTTGGGGACATCGAACACCACTGTACCGACTGTTCAGGACCTGAGAAACTCCTCCGAGGCGTCCACTGTCGGCGAAACGACAGTCGAGACGGAAGCACCCAACGTCGATGATAGATTCTCCAGCGTCACCGATCAAACGACCCTGTCCAGGGAAGAGTTCACGACTCAGAGTGTCTTCGAGGAGCAAAGTGAGTCGACGACGACGGAGGATGTCCAGAAGACCAGCGTGACTGATTCCTGGACGACAGTGACTGAGGAGGATGTTACTACCGAAAGTAGCGAGCAGCCAGACTCCAAAGATTCTCGACTGATGTTGAATGTTACTGAATCTACTATGAAGACAACGGTGATAATGAACGACAGCACCACGGATGCTGCTCGAACGACTACTTCCAACCCCTTCGCGACCGGAAGTCTCCAGCCAAGGGTCCCCGTTTCGATCACGATGAGCACTCCGATCACTTCCGACGCCACGTTGGAGACGACAGCTGACACGAAGATGTCCTCCGAGGAGATCACGTCGCTGGTTCGCATCGTAATGAATGGGAGCTGGTACGACGTGTGCTCGAAGATCGATCAATTGAGACTGACGCTCGTCGAGCTTTTGACCATCGGGATGAACCAGTAAGTTTCAACCAGATTAACCCTTAAGTCGACTATCAATCTCAGCTGAATTACTCACCAAATTGGTTAATGAAAATCAACTTTCCTTTGAAGCATTTGAAAAATAATGCACTTAATGGGGGATTACATACATTTTCAATCAATTACATTTATAATTCAAAAATATTAAAAAATAATGAACTAATGGGGGATTACATAAATTTTCAAATAATTACATTTATATATATATATATATCATACAATGTTAGTTTAAAATTGTGGTGTAATAATCCACTTAAGGTTTAAACGTCTCTGATGGATTTTTCGATTTGTACGTGATTTTGGTGATTTTGTACGCTGGGTGGTATGTGTCCCACGTTGCAACGATTTTATTTGTCACGTATGGGTTGTGATATATGGGATTTTAGATAATTTAAAGAGATTTTTGAGAAATTTGGTTTAATAGAAATGGAAGTTTTGCTGCCTCAATAATTTCTTCAAATTATAAAAATTTATTACAAAACCTTACGAATCAAATAAGGGAGAAGGGTTCGATTAAATCGAAATTGTTTATTTCTAATATCGTTAACTGTTGCTATTAACATCTCAAATTGAAACGTGTTAAACATGAAGCTTGTCTAGAAAATTTATAAAAAAAATTAACTTTTACATTAGAATTTCGTGTCAATAAATATTGAAATATAAAATTTGAAACTTAAGAAAATCGAAAATATCGATTGCCACGTGGGACATCAGTCACCCATTTGTATCCTTGCATGATTTAAGAAACTATTTCATTTAACAACAAAAGTATAAACGCGTTCACTGTCCGGCCTCTTAACGGCGTATCTAAACGCGTGGCGCTATGACCCATATGCGGCTCACAGACAGTGAATCCTAAAGTGTGATTAAATCGAAGGATTCGACAAACATCAATTTTATTATTGTTTTTACGTAACAAGTAACCTTTAAACCGTGTTTAAAGTGTCGAATTGGAATTCTTTATTATATTATCTTTGTTATATCGTCGCGCGTAGCTCGTAAAACTTTCGAACACGTACAGATAAAGGTAATTTCCGTTGTACGTGGAAGGATGATGTTCAACGGACAGTGACATGTGGCCGTGTCTCGCGTTGCAGGTCGATTTCCGATAAGCAAATTATATTTCACCAAGATCGGTGCAGCGAATCGCCGAGCTCGACGCCGACGCCGGCGGACATGCTGCCGTCCATATTGGTTTACGTCGTCGACAAAAATGGGAAGTTCGACAGCGCCATGACAAACAGTTTGCCCGGTTTGTACGAGGAATTGCAGAATCGTGTACAATTCCCGATCTCGGTAAGTCGACACGCATTAATCATTACTAGACTGCGGATCTTTATGCAAATTCACATTTTTATTAATAGAATCAATGAAACGGAAGCTTCGCAGAGGGCTGTCTCAAAAATTATTTTCGGTCGCGGGGTTCAATTACAATCATTTTTTGTTATTACACATACCCTCGAATTCCTACGCACTTTCGAGAAAAAAATTCGAGAAGGTGAGAAATTTTCCGACGGGAAAAAAATTTTCAAATAGTTTTGGAAAAATTATTTTCGGTTGCGGGGTGCAATTACAATCATTTTTGGTGAATACACATACCCTCGAATTTTTACGCACTTTCGAGAAAAAAATTCAGCAAGGTGGGTTAATTTTTCAGAAAATTAAAAAATTTCAAATCATGCCAAAAAAATTATATTTAGTTACAAGGCTCAATTACAAACATTTTTGGTAAATAGACATACCTTCGAAATTCTACTCATTTTCGAGAAAAAAATTCGAGAAGGTGTGAAATTTTTCGACGGAAAAAAAAATTTCAAATCGTTTTGGAAAAATTATTTTCGGTTACAAGGGTCAATTACAATCATTTTTGGTTATTACACATACCCTCGAATTCCTACGCATTTTCGAGAAAAAAATTCGAGAATTTTTTCAAAAATAAAAATCATAAAATCGATCAAAAGGTAGTACCAGTAGTAGATACTTAAAAAAAAAAAATTTCAAACCTTTTAAATACTTTTTGAAAAATACTCTTTTCTTTACTTCTTTCTGTGACTTATTTTAAAATACGACTCAAAAATATTGTCTACTCTTTTTCTAGACATAAAAATTGTTGACCTGGAAGTTTCAACTGATTAACCTTTTTTGTTTTCGACAATAGTAGATGTCTTTTAGAATGAACTATTTAATTCCAAAAAATAAAATTCAGTGTCTCTGTTCGAAGAAATAATATAAACGAGTAAGGAAACTTTCGCTAGCAGCGTGAGGAATCGATAGTCGTCGACAGGATCTGTCAGCGGATTGTATTTCGTTGGAAACGCAAACTCTAATGACGGTGATTTTCACTTTTCTCCGAAAAGTGTGCACTACTGGTACGATTACCTTGTATCAGATCGAAACAGGAACAGTGAAACTATCCGAGATAATAGATTCCGGTATCGATAAGTCACGGACTGGTAAAAAAAAAAAGATGCTCTTTCGCGTTACGCGAGATAGAAATGTTTTTAATCAATTCTTCTTTTTCGATCGGAGCATAGATAACGAAACTCTTCGGTCTGATAATCGTTCATTATTAGACGTAAGATTCGCAACAGATTCTATTTCACGATTACATAACCAAATGAAAGCTATTGCTCCACAAACGTAATGAATCTCTTATTACTTTTCCGTACATTTTCGTTCTCGATTTATTTCAAATTTAGAAGTCTCTAGCTTTCGTGGAGTTTGTGTTTTAAATAAAAGATTAACTTTTCGTTGGTTTTTGGACGTCGAGCTTAGACAAGTAATCGTTTATAATATAGTTAACATATTCCGGCCGCTTGACCCACTATTTTCAGATACACAGCTTTCTTCTGGTACAGGAAACTATTCCGGATTCCGGAAACGCGATCGCAGTCATCGTGGTCTCCTCGGTTGCTTTCATTTGTCTGATTCTTCTGGCTGGACTTCTGGTAAGAGCACATCTTCCGATCTCATTTTTTTTACCCCGATGAAAATCCGATAGAACGTACTTAGTTTTTGCTTCGATCCCTCAAACGTTCGCTTCCGTTCGAAAGCTACGAACAAATTACGTTTTACGCCGTGATTTTTTGCTCCTTTTTGATCGATAAACAAATTTCGTTGGTTGTGAAAACACGTTGAAATCGAATTTACCATCTGATCTATATTTATCATCTTCAGGAGAAATTCAGTCGATCTGTAACGTAACGTGCTTTCAAAACTATTTTTACAAAAGTCAATGATACTTTGATTTACCATTTTTCGACTTGTTAAAGAAGTAAAACAGAATTTATTCGAACGTTTGAAGGCGAAACTCGAAACGGATTTTCGATCCTGAGCATCGTGTTTATTATAGATGTAACAATACTTTGCATCTTCAATTTAACTTGAATATCGTGTTCGTTAAAAATTTTAATCAAAAGCGGTCGCAGAATTGACGAAGAGATACGATCTCTTAATAAGAAGGGAACGCTTTAATGTTTGCTGTATTTTGAATATCAGTGCTATTTGGAAACTCCTAATATTATTCATTACTCGTTGAACAAACGCAAAAGTTCCAATTATAAAGTGAAATATTTCACGGTTACAGGGTGTTCGACCAACCCTGGGAAAAATTTTAATGGGGGATTCTAGAGGCTAAAATAAGACGAAAATCAAGAATTCCAATTTGTTGATGGAGGCTTTGTTAAAAAGTTATTAACAATTAAATTCAAACATTTCAAATAGTTCTGGAAAAATTATTTTCTGGTGCGGGGGTCAATTACAATCATTTTTGGTGAATAGACATACCCTCGAATTCTTACGCATTTTCGAGAAAAAAATTCGAGAAGGTGTGAAATTTTTCGACGGAAAAAGAAAATTTCGAATCATTTTGGAAAAATTGTTTTCAGTTGCGGGGGTCAATTACAATCATTTTTGGTGAATAGACATATCCCCGAAATCCTACGCATTTTCGAGAAAAAAATTCAGCAATGTGGGCAAATTTTTCAGAAAATTAAAAAATTTCAAATCATACCAAAAAAATTATATTTAGTTACAAGGGACAATTACAAGCATTTTTGGTGAAGAGACATATCTTCAAAATCCTACGCTGTTTCGAGAAAAAAATTCGGGAATATGTGAAATTTTTCGACGGAAAAAACAACTTTCAAATCGTTTTGGAAAAATTATTTTCGGATGCGGGGGTCAATTACAATTAATTTTGGTCATTACATATCTTCTCGAATTCCTATCCATTTTCTAGAAAAAAATTCGAGAAGTTGTGACATTTTTCGACGGAAAAAAAAAATTTCGAATCGTTTTGGAAAAATTATTTTCGGATGCGGGGGTCAATTACAATTAATTTTGGTCATTACATATCTTCTCGAATTCCTATCCATTTTCTAGAAAAAAATTCGAGAAGTTGTGACATTTTTCGACGGAAAAAAAAAATTTCGAATCGTTTTGGAAAAATTATTTTCTGTTGCGGGGTTCAATTACAATCATTTTTGGTTATTACACATATCCTCAAATTCCTACGCACTTTCGAGAAAAAAATTCGAGAAGGTGAGACATTTTTCGACGGAAAAAAAAATTTTCAAATCGTTTTAGAAAAATTATTTTCGATTGCGGGGGTTAATTACAATCATTTTTGGTGAATAGACCTACCCCCGAAATTCTACCCATTTTCTAGAAAAAAATTCGAGAAGGTGAGACATTTTTCGACGGGGGAAAAAAATTTCATATCGTTCTAAAAAAATTATCCCCGTTTGTGGGGGTTAATTACAATCATTTTTGCTTATTACACATACCCTCGAATTCTTTCGCATTTTCGAGAAAAAAATTTAAAACGAGCGGAACTTTAATTGTTAATAACGTTTTAACGAAGCCTCCATCAACAAATTGGTATTCTTGATTTTCGTCTTATTTTGGCCTCTAGAATATCCCATTAAAATTTTTACCAGGGTTCTCCCAACACCATGTATATTAATTATTTCCATCTACTTATTAATTAAAAAACATATCAAAAACTTTCAAGCGTTCTGTTCTACCATCGCGGAGGAAGTAATAATTTCGCGCCATTTTGTGAGATCAGGAAAATATTTTATCCATGATATCCTGAGAACAATTAATTTTCTGCTTTTCTCGAAAGATTTTTCACGAACACATTTTCGACGAGATCTGTTATTGTTCACTGCACGCTTACGAAATAGCACCTGTCGTCACGAAATAGTATTGTTCAAGGAAGGAACTAATGAAAGAAAATTTAGATGCGCAGGTCCGCAAAAATCTATGTTCTCTGAAAGGCCACGTCGTACATGCATTAAGCTCATTTCGTATGGTGTTACGTATCCATCCGTCCACACTTGTGATTTACTCCCAGTGTACGTAACAACGAATGATAAATAAATGTGTTTGCGTCTCGTGTTGTATCGCTTTTGTTGGCCCGGGAACGATGTAACGAAATTTGACAAAACAATATTTCAATTATCAAAGAAAATATCTTTTAGTTATGGTCGATGGCGTGTATTATTGTTTTCGTTTTTCTCTGCTTTCAACATCCGCACATGCTGTTACAGATTGTTTTCGTAAGAAGTAATTGTTATAGTTCGATTGATTGGAAAACTATCACCCATAGTTATTACCATTTCCGTTTTTCCTGTTACAAACAGTTTTTATTTTCCTGATAAAAACGGCAAATCACTTACACACACCGAAATTTTTTGACGAAAAAAAGAAATTTCAAATCGTTCTGAAAAAATTGTTTTCGGTTGCAGGAGTTAATTACAATCATTTTTGGTGAATACACATACACCCGAAATCCTACACATTTGCGAGAAAAAAAATTCTTTACCAAAAATATAACGTGTGGCGAAAAATGTTTCCTCGTACGCTTACGTTTAAAAATTCATAACTCTCGGACGAATTGAAGAATTCTAATATTTCAAAAAGCAAACTACGCGTATTCCATATACATACCTCGTCCGTGATATCGTCAAATCGTAAGTCACAAGTCCCGCCATCGACGCCACAAATAAAACTCGCGTCTATTTTGCAATTGATCTCGTTTCGAAAGGGATTTCCGTCTGTTTGCAAATCGTATCCAGCAAAAATGTCGCCGTGCACGGTGCGGCGTCGTCGTCATCGTTATTATTAAACGTCCTATTATGCCCTCGTCGCGAAAAGGAGAAAGGAAAACGTGGATACAGGCGTATCGGTTCGATCGCGGTACGTAAAAAAAATCTCCCTCGTCGAGCGTGATAATCCTTCAGAAAACGGCGATCGTTTTGCGGTTTAGCCGGCGACGGGAAGAAACGCGATGCACTTGGACGCTTGCAGCGAATAAAAGGTACAACGCTCGTCCTTGAATCGGCGATTAGATCGTGCGACGATCGCCGCTTCATTGGTTTCTGCCTTGCGTATTCCATGTACGCGGGGCCCCACCGGTGTTGAAATCGTTCCTCGAGACGTGTTTCTCCCGTCGAGGCTCCGTTCCACGGATCCACGACGGTTTCGGTATTGTTCGTCCTCGATGCAGGGACAAGCAGCGTGAAATAACGGGATGCAGCGTCGTTATTCGTTCGGATGATGTCGCAACACGCGAAACACGAGTTTGTAACGTATATTGCTTTCTGCGATTCTTGCAGACTCTCGTCAGGCTGTCTGGCTCGCGGAACAAATTCTTTCCATCGTCGCGTTCGCCCTCTCGAACCTTTCTACCGTCCTGGATGTTTCATTTAACGCTACAACTATCGACGATTACAGCGCGTTTATTTAAAAAACGGAAGATAAATGGTGTTATTAAAAAAAATAGAAAATAGAAATACAGCGTGGTTGTTTGCACTAAAGAAACTAAAACGATAGACACGCGAAGAAATGTTTCGAGTTCAAGAATACAGCTTTTGCACACTCGCCTCACGTCGCTGAACTTTGTTGCATTGTTTCGTTTTCCCGGGTGCTTGGAGCTTGATAATTTGCATCGTCGAACGTGTCGACCCTGTTTACGATTCGACCATCGCTGTGAATTTAGTAGTGTTTTTACTTTGAGACGCGTTACAACGCCTCTGAAACGATTAATACGCGAAACGGAGATCGTTCGCGTTGAATTGTTGCGAACAGAACGTTTACGAATCACGTATGAAACTATTTACAGTTTATAATGAGGAAAAGGCAAACGAGGTTCAACTACGGCGAACGATGTCGACCGGTATCCTTGGACGCCTATAGCGTCGACAGCGTTTCCGCGTACAACAGCGTGAGACGCAAAGGCGTGGCCAGATCTTCGAAAAGAAGCTATGGGAATCCGACTTTCGAGGATTCGGTAAGTCTCGATCGGTTTTTTTCATCATTTCCAGCCATTATTTTCTTATCGATAACACGTTCACTGTCTGTGACCCGTATATGGGTCATATCACCACGTTATTAGATACGCCTCTGAGAGATCGGACAGTGAACGTGTCGATGATTTATTTCTGATCCCTTTAAATGGCCAACTATTAAATGGTAGCCAGAATTTAATGGTTTCCATGTCAAATTTAATGTGCAATTCTAATTATTTATGAATTAGAAATCTGTAATTGAACTTTCAAACGGATAGACATGTTTTCAGATTATAATATCAAGGTTGTCTTAGTAAAATATCTGATAATAATGTAAGAACGATGTCATAGATGTATTATTATTCAATATTAACATATTGTTACAATAGTAACATTTTGCTTTCCAATGTTTCTTCTGTTTATAGCATTCGTTTAATTCGTTCTTGTAAATATAAGTTAATCGTGCAGGTAAATTACTATAAATTACATCTTCGTAGTGTTTGCTTTATTTTTGTGCAATAGTAATGTAAATATTATATTATGCTTGCGTTGTAAATTCACTCCAGTTTTGTAAAGTAGTACAATTCCCTCGTGCTAATTAACAACTCGTGGCCTAATGTAAATTAAATTAGTATTTGTTCAAATTTTGCCAAGAATTGCTTGAAACGCTTAATTATGATTCTTAGTTACATTTTTGCGATATTGTTATAGCTCGATTGGTTCGAAACGCGTACAATTTCCCCTATGAGAAGTTCTTAACCTTCAAAATGTCAGCTATAGCTATTAATTACTTTTTTTCTTGGTATAAACAGTTTTGAAATGTTTCGAGTATAGCATCTCGTTAAATTACGTGCAAGTTTCAATAGATTTGCAAGAATATATCGTAATATTGTCAGATTGTAAGTTCACAAGCCTCACGACGACAAATTCAAAATGGCGTTCATCCCAGACGAAGAAACGCGGCAAATTCAAACTCAGGTTCCTTGAAAATTAGGTTTCATTTCGACGAACGCTTTTAGGGTTTCGTGATATATTGTCAAACCATAAATTCACAAGTTCCTCGACGACAAATTCAAAATGGCGTTCATTCCAGACAAGAGACACGACAAATTCAAACTCGAATTCCTTAAAAATTTCATTTGGACAAACGTTTTTAGGGTTTCATAATATATTGTCAAACTATAAGTTCACAAGTCCACACCATCGACGCCATGACAGATACAAAATGGCGGTGACTGCAAAACAAGAAGCGCGGGGAATTCAAACTAGAATTCCTTGAAAATTAGGATTCATTTCGATGAACGCTTTTAGAGTTTCGTGATATATTGTCCAACCATAAGTTTACAAGTCCCACGACGACAAATTCAAAATGGCGTTCATTCCAGCCAAGAGATGCGGCAAATTCGAACTCGAATTCCTTGAAAAAATTAGATTTCATTTCGACAAACGGTTTTAGGGTTTCGTAATATATTGTCACGACAAATTCAAAATGGCGTTCATCCCAGACAAGACACGCGGTAAATTCAAACTCGAATTTCTTGAAAATTAGGTTTCATTTCGACAAACGTTTTTAGGGTTTCGTAATATATTTTATATACATATAGTGAAATCATAAATTCACAAGTCCATCGACGCCATGACAGATAGAAAATGGCGATAACTGCAAAAGAAGAAGCGCGGGAAATTTAAATCCTCACTTAGGGGTTAATTAACTGTTTAAAATTCAGAACGGTTGGGGTTGAACGCATCGTAGGGGCCCCCGTCGTTTACATTTGTCAAACCGTGCTAACAACTTTAAAACCAATCGCGAAAATCGAGTTTGGAGGCGTAGGATGGGCTAGCGGCGCGGTAAAAGCGGTGAAGTAACTCGATTAGCGTAGCGATAAAAGCTTCGAAAAGGATGTTTCTGCGAACGATGTGTCCTGGTTGCAGAGCGCCATACCGTCCCACCCCTTGAATTTTGCCGGGCTTTCATCTTTCTGTAACGACACTAACGCGATCAACGAGGAATTCTCTGGTATTCCGCAAGTTTCGGCGAAAATCGACGAGCTGCCACTCGGGGCGGAGGTGAAGAATAGATACGCGAACGTGATACCGCTTCCGGAGACGAGGGTGCCTCTCCAGAAGATGAACAACAATCCTCTCACGGAGTACATTAACGCCAGTTACGTCAGGGTAAGCATCAGAACGTTTCTATCCACTAAAAACCCTTCGTTTCCCCTCAAATTTCAATTTAAAATCGAAATTCAACTTGCAAGGGGACTCTACGGTAATGAAAATTACTTTTGCAACGATATCAGGTGCAAGTTATAGTACATATATAGCATCAAAATACTCTGATAAGTTTCATCACAATGGATCTTCGTTTTCGAGATATTTTGATTTAAAATTTCATATGCACCGAGTAATTGAGTTATTTAACAATTTTGAGCAAAATAAGTTTTGGATAAGTCGGTAAAGCAGTTAACTAGGAAGCTGTAGGTAGCAGGTTCGAATCCCCACTGTTATTTATTTTTTTTTTCACAACTTTGAAATGAAATCATATTTTATTTATTTTTGCATTTAACGTAGAACAGAAAATATAAATTTTTAATATAGAAAATAGAAGTACAGGAATAAAATAGGTGTATGAACAGCGTTGTTTTTTTTTTTTTTAAATCAAGAGTAACAGTAAGAGGTATAGCAATTTTATTTGTTTCGGGGCTATGAATGCAGATGAACCCTTTATGCGGTCGAAACGTGCAGTTAACGAAGCGCGTCAATGTATCTTGAATGATCCCATAGCACAGGTAAGAGTTAACGCAGCGTTTTGTCCGCATGAGAAAAGGATGTTGCATAATGCATTACGAAGAATACGAATGCCTATTGCATAATATCCAAGCACAGCAATACACGGAAGCGGGACGAACGTTAACACGTGTTACCACCGAACGATTACGAACTTTAAATAATGGCCTCATAACACCGGGAATGGTAATTGATCGTTCTTAAATCAATCAATTATCCTGTTATTATTCTCGTAACGACATTGTCGGTCGCGATTCTATCAATCCGGAACATTAAACGCTCGATTGGGAATTTACGCGTTAAACTAATACCGTTCAAAATTATGAATATTCTCGAAATATTCTATTTTAAACGTTTCAACGCGTGCTTCGATTAATCGGTATTTAAGCATCGGGGTGGATCGTGTGTGCCAAAGCGCATTGACCAGTTGTAATTAACAGAGCCTCGTTAATCGATAATATCGATAAATATCGTACCTCGGGCATAACGTGCTTAGTATGCATAATTAATTGATTCGAACTGAAACCAATTCCCTTTGAAATACGCGAATTATGTTCGGGCATCGATTTCAAATTGTCGATGAAATTAATAACAACGATAACGTTGCACGTAACAATTGAGAGTTCTTTTCGATGTAAATGCGGTTGCATATAGAAAATCGATGTACATTGTGCGATAATCGAAGGTTTACGATGTAAACATTTTTTAAAAATGGTCTCTGCGATGTTTTGATTTTAAATAATTTGTTCGTATTGGAATATACAGTTAAAAATATACATAAACAATTTTAATGGGGGCTTCTAGAGGACAAAATAAGACGAAAAACAAGAATACCAATTTGTTGATGGAGGCTTCGTTAAAAAGTTAATAACAATTAAATTCAACAATTTCAAATCGTTCTGGAAAAATTATTTTTGGTTGCGGGGGTCGATTACAATCATTTTTTGTGAATAGACATATCCCCGAAATCCTACTCACTTTCGAGAAAAAAATTCGAGAATGTGTGGCATTTTTCGGCAAAATTAAAATATTTCGAATCGTTCTGGAAAAATTATTTTCGTTTGCGGGGGTCAATTGCAATCATTTTTGGTGAATAGACATACCCCCGAATTCCTACTCACTTTCTAGAAAAAAATTCGAGAAGGTGTGAAATTTTTCGACGAAAAAAAAAATGTCGAATCGTTTTGGAAAAATTATTTTCGGTTGCAGGGGTCAATTACAATCATTTTTGGTCATTACACATACCCCCGAAATCCTACGCACTTTGGAGAAAAAAATTCCTTACCGAAAATATAATTTCAGGCCAGAAATGTCACCCCAAAATTTCAAGCGTATTTTTAAAACGTCATAACTTCTGAAGGGGTTGGGCGATTTTAATGTTTCAAAAGGCAAACTACGCGTATTTTGATGGAGAATATGTGGAAATTTCAAAAATATCCGAAAAGTTGTTTCTTGAATCCGTAAAATGAGAAAAACCCTATAAAAAGGGTCCAATTCTTCCAACGACCATAACTCCTATAATAGAAAATATATTTCAATGAAATTTTTTTTTGTAATAGTGCTCATGGGTAGCTACAAAAAAGTATTAGACAACTTTTCCGTAGGGCGTCAAACAAAATTATTAAACATCAGAAACGAATTTTTAAGAAATATCGACAGGGAGTAGGTGCCTAAATTTTTCGACGAAATTTAAAAGTTTCAAACCACTCTGGAAAAATGATTTTCGATTGCAGGGATCAATTACAATCATTTTTGGTCAATAGACATATCCTCGAAATCCTACCCACTTTCTAGAAAAAAATTCGGTAAGGTGTGAAATTTTTCGACGGAAAAAAAAATTTCGAATCGTTTTGGAAAAATTATTTTCAGTTGTGGGGGTCAATTACAATCATTTTTGGTTATTACACATATCCTCAAATTCCTACGTACTTTCGAGAAAAAAATTCGAGAAGGTGTGAAATATTTCGACGGGGAAAAAAAATTTCGAATCGTTTTGAAAAAATTATTTTCGATTGCAGGGGTCAATTGCAATCATTTTTGGTCAATAGATATATCCTTGAAATCCTAACCATTTTCGAGAAAAAAATTCTTTACCGAAAATATACCGTGTGGCCGGAAATGTTTCTATAACTTTTTAACGAAGCCTCCATCAACAAATTGGTATTCTTGATTTTCGTCTTATTTTGGCCTCTAGAATCCCTCATTAAAATTTTCCCCAGGGTTTGGCCGAACACCCACTGTGACAAGAAAAAGCAATTTATTGTATTAAATAAAAGGGGGTTGTTTCGTGAAATTTTAGAGGATTAATATTTTTCAGGGGCCGAAGAATGCAATGAGGTACTACATAGCTTGCCAAGCGCCAATGGAGTCGACCATCACCGACTTTTGGAGGATGATCTGGGAACAACAGTGCAAAGTGATCATCATGTTAACCGATCTCGTTGAAAACGGGGTGGAAAAGTGTACGGAGTACATTCCACCCTCGGAAATAACCGATTGTCACCGGTTGTACGGTGACTTCCAAGTGACTCTGAAGAAGAGAGAAACCAAAGAGAAATATGCCATTTCAACGCTTCACTTAAAAGTAAGGGACAAGTTTCTGAACATTCCTAACGCAAAGTCTTCCAAAATGGCGCCTCAGAATCCTAATATTCCATTCGTGTCGTCGATTTCAAAGGTTAGGTACGATAAATTAAATTTAAAAAAAAAATGGCCACCATTTGTGTTACCTAACCTAAAACTTGATCGATACTATAATTTATTTTTTATTATTTTCCATGGGTTTGACGCGTGTCACAATCAGTTGACATAATTCAGATACGCCCATGCCTGATACAAATTTATATCAAAACAGCAACGATATATACCGATCAGCTCATCGTGAATCATTTTGTAAATTAAGAAGCGTCGAATAACAGATTACGAAACATTTTCCTTAAACTAACGCCCTGTATATTGTCACTAAAAATTTCTCTCTTTTTAATATCATGCGTAACGATTATATGTTCAAACTAACGCGTGGATTTTGTTTTCAGAATTTGGAAAACAATACGTTCCGAGAAGTGTATCATATTTGGTATTTGTGGCCTGTGAACGGCGCACAGTCTGACGGGGCTGGCTTGATAGCTGTGCTCCTGGAGGCGAGGGCTCTTCAGAGAGGGGGCCCCGGACCCATTGTGGTACATTGTAGTCCCGGCACTGGACGCACGGGGACTCTAATAGCTCTTGACCTAGGTATTAGACAATATGAGATTACGAGGACTGTGGACGTGCCAAGGGTCGTTTACACTATCAGACGGGATCGTGCTGGGGCTGTGCAGACGAAAGAACAATATGCCTTCATCTACAAGGTCATTTGCTTCATCCAATTTTACCATTAAAAATCATTTTTCTCCATTTCTCATCCTCTCTAAGGAATTATTTACATCTAACTTAAATTCAATTGTTATCTAACTATTGCTCTATCGTTATCTAACCTCAATTGATCTATACCTCGTCAAAATTAGCGTGGTCCGGCGCCAATGCATTAATGAAGGAAATGCAATGGCGTCGTCCACGTTCGTACCACTTTGGACGAAAAGAATTGCTTACATTTAATTCAAATTCAAGTCAATACTTATTTTTTTACCTCGTCAAAATTAGCGTTGTCCGGCGCCAATGCATTAATGGAGGAAATGCAATGGCGTCGCCTACGTTCGTACCAATTTGAACGAAAAGAATTGCTTACCATTCACGATTCCTTCGAAAAACACTATTGAAGTGGCTGCAACCAAAATGGCTGGCTCAAAATTATTAAATTCATTCGTAAACTAGTTTTCTGTCGATCCAAAACCTCTGTTTTCAACAAACTCACAGGCGAACGGAAATTACTTTACCGACGGAAGCACACGGTTGATGTTCTCTTGATTTTTCAGGCACTGAATTTGTACGCGACCAAACTTGCCGGCGGTGTGTTGGACTCGACGTGAATCACGGACCATTTCTAGACCCTCTCTCGATAAGTGTACCCCAAGTCGGAGCAGAGAACTGCATTGTCGGTAACCGATAAAGTAACATCACCCCCCTCCGAAGGCGATAAGAGTCACGAGATTATAACACGCGAGATGCTATTGATTACCTGAATAGGAACATACGCTGATCGAACGGAAGAAGGTAACTTGTGATACGTGGACCACTCTGACGATCGTATTTCCCTTTCGATTTTCTTCTTGATCCTCTCGGAGTCCGATGATTTCGATAACGGAGATTCGTGACGCCTACGTTTATTTGCTCGTCTGTTACCTCCGGTCTGTAATTCATTTTTTCTATAAAATTCTTATGCAGCTTTCGCGAAAGGACTTAAATCATTTATAAATACAACTAAGCATCGACTGATCACTATAAATAAATCGATAATACTTACGTGATATTTAGAGTATCTCAAAACGATTTTTAATGCCTCGATATTCTTACTCTGAGCAGATCTACTGTGCAGAGATCAGAAGTTACCAACCGAGTCTGACCACTTATAGTGTAATCTACTTCTCACAGATCTCCTTCGATCTATAGGAGATTATACTGAAGCTGGTCAGACATGCTAGCCAACTTCTCGTCGTTGCACAGTAGCAACATAAACAGGAGTTTGTACCATTTTTTTTATACTCTGGTTAAAAATCTATCGTCAACATCATCAATAAAAATTATTTTTATTATTAATGAAATTAAACTCCGTTGCAATTTGGAGAATTCTATTCCATGCATTGTTTAAATACTCTTAAATTTCTTAAAAAATTGTTAAATACGAAACGAATATAGTTTTCGTAATGAATTTTACGACCAAGAGAAAACGACGACACAGGCAATATTTAATTCGAGCGAATCATAGGAACCGAGAGGCAAATATTAATTTGTGATAAATGAACCATCTGTTGATGATATTCAGCTTCGTATTTCTTAAGCCTGTTCGATTTCATACGACTCTTTTTACTATAGATTTCGTCTCCTTTGTCGATACTTTAATATACATGTATATGAATTCTATATATACATATATACTTATAAATAAATGTAATTAACTATAGCTAAATATTTAATGTTGATATAATTACGTTTGGTAGCCGGTAGCGTTATTTCGAAAAGGCTGTCGTGGAAAACGATTTCATTTTATAAATAATTACCGTAACGAGAATCACACGACGAGAATATCTATCTTCGAGAATCGATAAACATATGTGTTTGTATCGTTTATACGTGTGCATGTTAATTATTCTTTAATATCATCACCGTTTAGCAATATTAGGTTTGTAAGCAATTCCGAGAAATCGTTGAATCGATTTCTTCTTCTTTTCTTCTTCGAACAGAGACTAGGTATTATCGTACTATTGTTGTTATTGTTGTTGTTGTTGTTATGATTGTACAGATATTTTGATTCGTAGCACGTCGCTCTCTATAATTGTACATAGAAAAACAGAATTAAGATGATTAATTGTATCTCGGTAGAATTTCGATTAAAAATTTATTCCTTGTTTTGCAAATGTTCTTTTGTTTTCGATCGTCAATGTTCTTAGGACTTCGACCACGTTTGCGAAATGAGCCGTATTATCCCGTAAATTTTGTCGACTTCGTTGGACGCGACGTTATTCAAAATGGCGGGCGTCTCGCGGTCCAGAAACATTCAAAGAGTAAACAAATTCATGCACAATTTTTTCTCCATGTATTTCTTAAATAATTGCAATTATTCACAAAGAACTGAAATGTAATTATAATGTATATTGCAACGTTAATTGCACAGTTTCGTTGTTTAACAAAACCTGTTGTTAATATTAAGACTTGGATGATAAAAATTTATAAAAGCACTACATTCGATCGAAAATATTCTTATGGATTATGATTTGTTATGGTTAACGTGAAATAGAGATAAAATTAGTTTGGTGATCGTGAAACGTAGTAAAAATAATCGACAAAATCTATGGAATAATTTAGAACGTCACCGATATGTCTTCTACGAAACCAAAATTGCACTCTGATCGATACAAATTGTGTATTCGAATCGTGAAAAGTCGCGTGAAAGTAGAGAGTGGAAGGAAGAGCAAAGAATTTCTATAACTTTGCAATCGAATGGTCCACGTTTGCGGAACGATTATCCCGTAAATTTTGTCGACTTCGTTGGACGCGGCGTTATTCAAAATGGCGGGCGTCTCGCGGTCCAGAAACATTCAAAGAGTAAACAAATTCATGCACAATTTTTTCTCCATGTATTTCTTAAATAATTGCAATTATTCACAAAGAACTGAAATGTAATTATAATATATATTGCAACGTTAATTGCACAGTTTCGTTGTTTAACAAAACCTGTTGTTAATATTAAGACTTCGATGATAAAAATTTATAAAAGCACTACATTCGATCGAAAATATTCTTATGGATTATGATTTGTTATGGTTAACGTGAAATAGAGATAAAATTAGTTTGGTGATCGTGAAACGTAGTAAAAATAATCGACAAAATCTATGGAATAATTTAGAACGTCACCGATATGTCTTCTACGAAACCAAAATTGCACTCTGATCGATACAAATTGTGTATTCGAATCGTGAAAAGTCGCGTGAAAGTAGAGAGTGGAGGGAAGAGCAAAGAATTTCTATAACTTTGCAATCGAATGGTCCATGTTTGTAGAAAAAGGTAAACGAATACAAGGCAGACAGGGTTAATTTCTAGTTAGCATCGTTATTTCTAAACACGTAGGGAATCGATCGAAAGCATTTCTAGAAATGTAATTTGATAGTGGATTTTCAAAAATTTTATAGCACATTGCCCCAAATTAATCGTTTAACGGGGGACAGGGACATCGAACATTTATAATTATCGCAAGATCGAACAACAATGATGATTCATACGCGTGAAGCAGAAATCTCGTTGATATGAATATTGCCATGAGAGAAATAAAACCTATAACCATTGTAGTGTCTGAAATAACTCAGTCGTAGCTTGCGTAGTGAATAAATAGTTTAATATTGGTATATGAATTAGAAAAAAAAAGAATTGGCTCGCCTCGTGGCGATTCCTCGACTCGCTCGCGACACACTCACTCTGTCGCTGTCCGCCGCGTGGCGCTACGACTGCCCAGGACCGTAACTAGCCGATCCACCACACTAGAATTAAAAATTTAACACTTAACGTCGAGGAAATAGGAATGTAAGCGCAATGATCTCATTTGCTAAAACTTGGAACTAAGGTAAATTAAAAAGCTTCTCGATATCAGCCATTGTTAATTAAGAGGATGATTTTTCTTTCGATCGAAAACGGGGAAAACGATGTTTTCGATGCGCGGGATTCGTTCGCCCGACGTAAACGAAAATTTTTTACCATTTTCCAAATAGTATTACGGACTAAAAAGGTATCGTGTAACGGTATATCAGTACGTTCGTCTTACTTAATATTATAACTGTTAACTAAGTAACGTATACTCGTTGTGAACGTATAAAACATCTCTGTACGATGTAATTGAATGTATATCGAGTGTGCAAACAAATAACTATCGTCTATCTTAAAATTTAAGACGTTCGAAGCAGTCGATTCATTGAAACCAGTGTTTATGCGCCAAATAAATTTAATCACAATTAAAAAAAAAAAAAAATGGGTTTTCAGAAAATTTATACGCGCGTGTTCTTCATAAGATGATTCGTGCTTGTTGAATTCGTTGTTTAGAAAAGTTTCTATACAATTTTTTTTTTTAACTATAAAATTATAATCTCTTGAAAATAATATTTACTGTATTTCGTGCGTCAAATTAAGTTAGAATATGAGATACCAGAGTTTAACTATATTTAAAGAATTTTCGATCAGTAGCCCTAATTAAAATTTCCTCGTTGTGATAAAACTGTTCCCAAGAAGTATGCTTGCTCGAAGCTTACGAGACCATCCTGATACGAGAAACCAACGTACCAAAAAAAGAAAAACAGAAAAAGGGAAATAGATGTTTAATTATATAGATGTTTATATATTGATATTGTAAGGGATACGTGTATGTGTGTTTAGAGAAAGTTTAGGAAACGATGGGTTCGCGTAATATTCGCGATACCTTTGGGAATGACGGATGTGTATGTGTCCGACGTGTATGCCCATCAACGTACGATGTAAGAACAAACGTGTAATTGTATCATAGAGATTTAAATCAGACGAACGAGCCACGTTAAAGAACGGTGTTCAGTCGCATAGTTATCGCAACAGCCACAACGTCGATTACGCCTAACATAGTTGGACCAAGAAAATAAATGTAATTGTTCGATACGTGAATAAACCTCGAGAAATCCTTTACTCCTTCACAGTAACAAATATTTATTTATTTTATACAAATATTAAAACGCTCAAAATTTTAGAAATATTCAATATAAATAGTGGCTCACGTGCTTTCAAATTGGCTTTATTCTTTCTCAGAAATAAATATTTACTGTTTTAATAAAAGTGTTAAAATGTTGGAAAGATTTTGGCAATATTTAAAATAAATACTGGATCATGTGGAGTAAAATTGACTTTATTCCTTCTCAGTAATCAATATTTATTTTTTTAATAGAAATAATAAAACATTCAGAATTTTAGAAAAAATGTTAGAAATATTTAAAATAAATACTGGATCACGAGGCGTCAAATTGACTTTATTCCTTCTCAGTAACGAGTACAGTAATCCCCCCCCATAACACGGTACTCTTATAACGCGTTTTCAAGTCCCCCGTGTAACGCGTGTTTTCCCCCATATAACGCGGGGATTTCCCACTGTATATTTGTACAGATTTGTACAGTTCATAATCAATTTCGCGTTCGTTGTTTTTTACTTACATATATGTATAAGTTTTTTACTTAAAATGTTCTTAGTTTGATTTTAATAAAACGCACATATTTCGTTCGTAACATAGTTTTTCCTTAATATTCGATTTAAACCCTCCTTTAACGAGGAAAGTTAAACGTGAATCATTCTCGTACAACGCGTTTTCCTATAACGCGAAACCAATCTACCGTGTTATAGGGGGTGTTATTAATTACTGTATCTATTTTTGAATAAAAATAATAAAACATTCAGAATGTTAGGAAAGGTGTTAGAAATATTCAAAATAAATACTGCATCACTTGGAGTCAAATTTGCTTTGTTACTTTTCACTGATAAATATTTATTTTTTTTCTAAGAATATTAAAACATTGAAAAAGTTTTGGCAATATTTAAAATAAATACTGGATCACATGGTGTCAAATTGACATTATTCCTTCTCAATAATGAGTATTTATTTTTTAATAAAACTATTAATACGTTCAAAATTTTAGGAAAAGTTTTAGAAATATTCAAAATCAAAATTGGATCACGTGGCGTCAAATTGATTTTATTCCTCCTCAGTAATGAGTATCTATTTATGAATAAAAATAATAAAAAAAACATTCAGAATTTTAGGAAAGGTGTTAGAAATATTCAAAATAAATACTGTATCACGTGACGTCAAATTTCCTTTCTTAGTTTTCGCTAATAAATATTTATTTATTCTCTAAGAATATTTAAACATTCAAAAGGTTTTAGTGATGTTCAAAATAAATACTGGATCACGTGGTTTCGAACCGACTAAAAGACACCCATACTTAACCCTTTGAACTCCACTGGCGCCGCTATGGCGACAAACATAATACAGTACCATAGCTCGATTAAAGTTTCATTTAAGACGACATAAACTGAATTTAGAAAATATATAAATAAAATTTAAATTATAAGTATTCGTATACACGTTTGTGGAAAGAAGAATATTTTTTTATTTTTAGAAAACACAAAATTTAATTTGGTATTGCTAATCGTTCATGTTAACGAATACTCTCGGAGTACAAAGGGTTAAATTAGAAATATTTTACAACAGTATAGAATCGTAAGATATTTTGTAAATAAGTAGCATTTATTATTCTGTTAATATTAGTTTTTTTTTCCAAAGTAAGTTAATTCGTTGAACTCGTTTCGTTAATAGTGAATTTTCTAACATCGATATGTGAATAACTTTTGCCACGGTCGTGTAAGATCCGTTTAAAGGATCGTTGTTACGCAACAGGTATAGAAAAAGACAGAAAATGTGTTTTAAGGTTGCGTTTAAAGACCTCGAACTCGAGAATATTTTACGAGTAAGACACGCCGCGCAAAGTAAATGCAATTCGACGCTGCATTTCATTTTGACCAACTGTTACCAGTTTCGAGCAATTGAAACTGTTTTCTTACGAAACTCTTCGACTCTTTCGTTGATTAGAATATATAGAACCTAGTTACGAAATATTTATTCGAACAATACATCGAGTATATCAATTGTGCTCTTGGAAAAATTCGAATTTCTTTTTTTTTTGGAACGTTGGATCCATTTAAATTGAATTTAAACTCAAACGTTTCGAGTTTCTAAATTATCTCGAGATTCAGTTGGTTCCACTATACGAACTAATCTTAATAGGCATAATTTTTTTTTTTTAGCGTCAAACAAGTCGACATACTTTTTCTCAAACTATCAAAGGGATTTTTGTCAAATATTTCTACGAGTATTGTACTGATAATGCTAGATAAATTAACAACACGATTTTTGTTGTAAATATTCTAGAAAAATTTTTGTTTCGTGATCAGAAAGTATCGAACGATAATTTTTCAGAATTCCAGTACGTTCAATAACTTCTCAGGATTCGACTAATCATTTCTAAAAGCAAAAAACAAATACCTCGACGCATTATATCGACAATTGCGTGCTATTATTTCCACGTTAAATGCGCCGACCGTTGACAGCAGTGAAAAAACAAGTTTTTCAATTTGCATACGTTTATCCACGCACAAACTTGGACAATAAATTTCGTGAAGCCTACTGTCAATTATTTCTCGCGTTTAAAAGTACTACTCGTAATTACTCACTTTGTCGTAATTATTGTACGTCCAAAAACTACGATGAAATGGTGGTACTCTAATCTTAAATGTCCAAGAGTTGCCTAGAGTGACAAAATTGACGAAATAATACCGGTACACTTGCTTGTAAATAATAAAAATGGGAATAAATATATCGTGACACACATTGGGGTCACCTGACTCACCTAAAACTCCATTCGATACACAATTTTGTATATAAATTGCAATATTTCACTTTTACATGACAAAAATAATTCAAATTAAATTATATAAAATGTTCCAAACCACGTTCAAGTGGGAATAAAAATTAAAAATTATAAAATTCATTTTCCATTTGATTTAAAAAATTTCTTTGCGATTTTTCATGACGATGCTCACTTTCATGTATAATATTTCAATTTAAATGGAAGAAATGATTCAAATT